CAGCAACCAATTGTATGTATCAAGCGTCTTTGCACACTCAGCTACAGCCATACATGTAAATGTGTTTTCAAATGTTAAATTTGAACCAACATCACAGCGCGCGATTAGTGCATTTGTGTGTACGTGTTGTCACCGCTGTACATGCTTTGTATACATATACTTTTTTAATTACATATGAAAAAGCATCCGAGACGTGCAAAACGGCATCCGTGCAGTGAAAAATGCTTCATTTTAATCCGGGCGTATTTGAATTGAATATTTCCATTATTTCCAAATTAATTTGAAATTGTAATACTGGTAGCTCTCCAGTATAGCTGGAACACTATCGATTGTCGTCACAACTATCGGTAGTATCGATACTATCGAAAATGTCGACACTATCGGTAGTACTATCGATAGTTTTTAATAAAAAAATCCAAAAATTAAACATAACAACATTTATTGAAAATGAGATCATAATTGCCAAAATATGTCCATATTTTTGTTAAGGAACAAAAGTTTATCTATGATTTTTAGCTTCGAGCAGCATCTGCGCTCTGAAATTATTTGCCCTACTTTGCTAAATGACCTTTCCAACTCACAAGATATAGCAGGTACCGCCGGCTTTTACTCTTATATAGGCGGCATACACGGTGCGTCTGACTCGCGAGTCATTTATGTACGTGTTGACTCGCCTTCGACTACACACAGTTGAATCATTCAGAGTCAATCCAGGAGTCATGTCGGTGTAACTAACACAAATTTATTATCACAAACACATCCCAACCAACTCGCGAGTCAGACGCACCGTGTATGCCGCCTATTACTGAATAATGTTTGTATGAGTGAAAACTATCGATAGTGCTTATAAACTATCGATGTTTTCGATAGTCAAAAACCATCGATACTATCGATAGTGCCATCGCTAGTTTTCCAGCTCTACTCTACAGATCATCTACTGGAAAGTTTACTCACTGTTTTGCAACACACTGCAGGACAAAAGTTCTCTTTGTGGCGAAACTATTTAGTCATCTATTTACATTTATATTTTTGTAGTGTTAACAATGATGTTCTACGAAATGCGGAATATCAGCTTTGCAATTTAGTCCCGATTTTTCTTTGTAAATAATTTGTATGATTATTTTTTTCATAACTACTAGATTCAATCAAATTTGGTAGCGCAATCTACTTAATTTTTGTGAGGTGCCAACGTACGGATTTTTTAATGGCCACAAAAGTTTGCGAATACGCAATGACAAACGATATCCGGCTACGTCTTTCTGCCTACAGTTCAAATTCAAGTACGTATCAGTTTACATATCGTCGCTCCCAACGAAGAGTAGCACATCTCAAATTACCGTGGAAGACTAGCACATTTCATTTTCACGTCGAAGACTAGCACATTTCATTATTCGCGTCGAAAAGTAGCACATTTCAGATTTTCGCGTGGAAGACTAGCACATTTCACTATTCGCGTGGAAGAGTTGCACATTTCAGAATTTTGCGTGGAAGAGTAGCACATTTCAGATTTTTGCGTGGAAGAGTAGCACATTTCACTATTTGCGTGGAAGACTAGCACTTTTCAGATTTTTGCGTGGAAGAGTAGCACATTTCAGATACTCGCGTAGAAGAATAGCGAATTCATATAAAGTGGTACTAGCAGCCGTACAAAAACCAAACATACGTGTATGTAATAATTATTTCTCCTCGACTAAGCTGAGAGTTTAATGTTGTGTATGGAGCTTTTCGGTATTTTATTACAACAAGAATAAACGTTTATTTTCCTCCTGCTCGTTTGGACGCATATTCGCGTCTTCCTCAGGGAATCTATTTATAAATACGAGAAACATATATGTGCATTAGGGTGGTCCAAAAATGCATGTGGAAAAAGTAAAGTCGGAATTTTTATGCTCTCACCCCCCAAGATTGTTCTATACCGAAAAAATATATCCCTATTTTTTATTTTGAAATCAAAAAATAGTTAGAGGTCGCTCAAAGCGCCCAAAGTTTCCCATGTACATATTTTATATGGGGAAAAACACTTTTGGTAGAAATGGTATATAATTCAAAAAAACTATTTTTCTATCGGAAAACTTTTTTCAGCTGCAGGATTCCCAATAATAATACCCAATTGTTTACTTAACCTTTTTTCATCGCAACTATAATTTGTAGGTCCGCCAAAAACCCCAAAAACCCCGAAAAATGCAATGGGGGACAAATAAAAAATCGTTAGTATTAAAAAATTGTTAAATAAATAATTGCGTATTATTATTGAAAGTCTCCTGAAAATAACCAGAGTTTTCTGATCGAAAAATATTGATTTTCAAAAATTCTATACCATTTCTACGAAAAGTTGTTTTTTTCCCATACAAAAATACAGAGAAAACTTTGAGCGCTTTGAACGACCACTAAATATTTTTTGATTTAAAAAAAAAAATATCGGTACACTTTTCTATATACAACAATCCTAGGGAGTGAGAGCATTACAATTCCGACTACTGTTTTTGGACCACCCTAATGTACATGCAGTCATATCAAAAGCACCTCATTTCAAAGTGATATTGTTTTCCACTTATTTTTATTTACTTATTTTTAAGAATTTTCATTAAAATAAAGTTCATTCTCTGAAGAAGTCCATATAAACCCATGATTCAATAATAGAAAGGTTTTGTAATAAAACAGTCTTCTCGCTCCCACACATAAAATCGGCTCCTTTACTTGTGCATAATGTTGCTTACTCTAGAGTTTCTAGTGATATTAGTAGTAAAACCAAAAATTCTTCATACTAAATATTCGTTGGCGTCACCTTGGTTCGCGTAATTTTCTAGAACAAGTGTAGAATAGCGACCGTTTAGCTATAAAATAACCAAACATGCCGATTGATAGAACTTTTTACGCTGATTTCAACGATACCAAATTTATTTGTCACTGGTAAAAAAAGAAGATATAAGAGGTTTATTTGTATTTTTTATTATCACTAAATTGTTGAAACCCAAAAGTAGATCATGATAAAGTATGTAATATCGAATTAAAGAGAATAACTTGTACTTTCTAAATTATATAAAATTCTTTACGATTAATTATGCAGTTTTTTCAAAAAAGGTTATTTCATGAAAAAATAAAATTTCTTGGATTTTTAGTGGTTTTGGTTTAAAAATACAAAAAGCTATAAATTATGTACATCAGCTGAAGAACAAATTAATGACCTTTATGGTGACGTCATTAGCTGTTTAATTGGTTATAAATTACATAAGATATTAACATTTAAAACTGAACTTTAACCTTCTAGAACCTCTTCATTTTTTACTTGCGCCAAATCATTTTGGCATGGCTCAAATGAGCATAAAAAGTTCTATTGATCCGCATTTATAGTTTTTGCATAGCTGAACGGTCGGCATTCTAGATTTGTTCCTGGAAATGACGAAGAACTTAATTCGAAAATGCATATTTTTATGTATTGTTTAGTATTTCCATTAAAACACCCAATATATTGCAAATTCGCATAGAATTAATAATACACATTTTACTTCTAATTGTATACTTTGCGTACTTTTTGTAGTACCATTCTACTACCGTTTTCGCAAAATGCGATCACATTCTTCCCCTTTCTCCTACTTCCAAAATACAAATCTAGATAGAGGAGTGTCAAATTTTAGCTGTCACAAATTACACAACCTTGTATTATTGAATCATGATATAAACCCAAATTTAAAACTTTATAGAAAACTAAAAAAATCTAAAAATGTTCATCCAAATGTCAAATAATTTTTTTCTAAGAATTTTTTGAGTATATAGAATTAAAGCCCTTTCAATTTTATTGCAACAATGTGCAAGTTTCAAGTGGCTAAAAAATTTCCGTTGTTGCGGTTTTCTTTCATATAAAAATAAATTGTGTTTATTCGTTATATAGTAGCAAATGCGACAAAAATAATCAAAGGAATCATAGGATATACCGTCGGAATTTTATGAATTTTATAATAGAATTACACAAATATAAAATAAGCACTTGAATTTCCAATATAAATTATGCTTTTATGATTTAGTTTAAATGTGCTACTCTTCCACGCAAACATCTGAAATGTGCTAGTCTTCCACGCAAAAATCTGAAATGTGCTACTCTACCACGCAAAAATCTGAAATGTGCTAGTCTTCCAAGCAAATAGTGAAATATGCTACTCTTCCACGCAAAAATCTGAAATGTGCTACTCTTCCACGCAAAAATCTGAAGTGTGCTACTCTTCCACGCAAAATTCTGACATGTGCTAGTCTTCCACGCAAAAATCTGAAATGTGCTAGTCTTCCACGCAAATAGTGAAATGTGCTACTCTTCCACGCAAAAATTTGAAATGTGCTACTTTTCGACGCGGATAATGAAATGTGCTAGTCTTCCACGCTAATAGTGAAATGTGCTAGTCTTCCACGCGAATAGTGAAATGTGCTACTCTTCGTAGGGACCGACGATATGTTGTCTACGGCACTCCCTTTTTTGTTTGTGTGATTACTTACATATATATGTATGTATGTGGAGAGCATGTGTAAATATGTTTATGTATGCATATAGGCTGGTGTGTGTTACTGAAACTACATGTGTGTGGGTGTTTCTGATAAAAACGAAAAGATATGGAAATTCGTATGTTAAATAATACTTAAAAAACAACAACTTCTACTGCTAATGTTTGGAAGCGTTTGAACAAATTCTACTGCGGCATACTCCATGTGCGCATGCGTGTTTTCATTAGGTGACTGTGCAGTATCCTTATTACATACTATGGGCATTCATATAAACACTTAAATGCCTCGTAACCACGAAAATCTCGTTAATAAAGCGTTTTTCCATACAAAATTATGTACGTTTACGAAGTTTACGTGGTTACGAGGCATTTAAGCGTTTAGATGAATATCCCTATTATTTATATTTTAATCAACAGCGGAGAATTTCAATGAGTATGTTTGAGATTAAATATTGAAAGAAAAAAATCAAACTCATATTTGGAATACTGAAACTTTTGAAATGTTCTCACCTGTTGATCACCAACTTCGCCTGGTCTCAACAACTGTAATTAGTTCATGTTCAAAAACACAAAATTAAAATTAAGACATTCAAAGGTTCACCATTATCTATTACATATATATGTATGTGTGTGTGCCTTTTCTTAGGTTCAAGTCAATTTGATAAAAAAAATTCAAAACCCTCTTCAGCACTTTGGGGTTTTTATAGACCACGTTGCCTTAAAATTTTACGACCCATATGTCTAAATAAGTATTTGCATAACTAGGTTTCAATAAATTGTTCGCTAAAAACCGGACGCTGTGTAAATACTTGAACATCCGTGTCCGCTGAATTTCGGACTCGAATATGAGCTTAGTTTTCATTTTGCATGCAATGCAGCAAAAAGATTTCAGAAAAAAACATGTTTTGTTTAGTTTTATTAGAAATTTTAATTTAAGTTTGGCTAAGATTTTTTAAAACATTAAGTAAAATTTCCATTTAACTAGCAAATGTAACCATTGTTGGTTTTCTGTTACTCTTTCCCTGATTTATGCTATGAAAAGCAGGCAAGTTTTATAAATTTGGATTTTTACAACACCAAAATAGGTTGCGTTTTGGAAATGGAGTTGTAGAGAAATTAAAACAACACTAGGGCCCCCTGTAGGATTAAAGGAAATGGGTGCTGGTATGTTACAGTGTGGAGTGAAGCGGAAATTGCTGGAAGCGGAGATTTAGACTTGAATGTATTTTCAATACGACTGAGGTTGAGTTCCGAGATTAAACATTGTAGAATTTTTCCTGATGGCTCTAAATATGACGCAGGATAGGATCTGCAGTATATATAGAAAGTAACGGGGGAAATCTTCACTTCCCGCTTGGGAAATATGCCTGGATATTTCAAGCTGAGGTACGTTGTGGAACATAGATGGAGGAGTTTAAGTGTCTATAGATACACTCAAGGCATTGGCTAGCACTCTTATTACTTCTAAACTAAATCAGACTGAAAAAAATAATGAGCTTGTTTTACTCTGGATGGCAGCTCACTCGGGAGTGTCTAGTAATGAAGGATCTGACCATTTGGTCAGGGAGGGCTCAGACCAGGCATTCCTCGGTCAGCAACCAGTTATAGCACTCCCACACTCGGCCAACGAAGCCATCGTGAAACTGAGTGAATATCTTGTTGGGTAGTGGAAAAATTCGAGGGGCTGCAGGTGAGCAAAACTCATGTTGCTCTCAATCTCAAAGGGTCTCCTTGGGGTAAATCGTGTATATTTAAAACCGTTTATAAGGGAACTCGAAAACAGGACAATGGACGGTATATAGTCTGAGTGCTAATTTCCTTGTTAGCTCTTAATAAATTATACTGGAAGTTGGTCAGAATGATGAATCTTGATCACACCAAACCCGCCTTAGTTAGGGGCAGTTAAGCAGCGATCACGGCAATTGGGTCGGAATGAGAAACATCTTTGGCAGCATGTAGTCAAACTCTACTGAGTCCCAGGACATAGAATGAGGATGGTTTAAAGATATACGGGGACAGGTCTTGGGAGACCTCTATTGGGTACACAATGGGCCTGTGTGGGCTTCGAGTAAACTCCAATAACTGGAGCCCCTTGTCCAACTTAGCCTAACCTTGCCTATGCATATGACAAATTTTAATACTAAATATTTAACTGAAATATACTTAACAAAGATTATTGGTTTCGGTGTTGAAATCTGTCTTATACAGTGACTATATTTAATAGTGGTTGGTGGGATTGTTCTGTCCGAATTCCTGTCTAGTTACAGGTGCGATAGCCTGACAGAACAATCAGCCTATACCTGGAAACAAGTTGTCGTTAGCGCGCACAAGAAAAGAGTAACCAAACCCACAAAACCCATTAAAGAACTAGCCATTTGCAATTATGCTACCAAACAATTTGTTGGTACTACAAAGCAATAGCGGTCGAATGGCCAGTCTAAAATAAATATTTATCACAAATAAAATCAGATTCTTGCTAGGCTCAAATCGTTAGTGGTAAGCAATAAACAGACGGCAACGCTGATTTGTATTAACAGTTGATATGAATAAAATTTTACCCTGGCAAACGGTATTACGGATTAAGCAAGCCGCAAGGTCGTGGCTTTTTTTCGCGAAATAACGACACGCAACAATTATGATCTTAATATATCACAGTTGTGTGAAACAAGATGGTCGGAAATATATAAGGCTATCATAATTTTATAATTTTCAGAAAATTTTCCTGAGGATGTGGAAGCTTTAGAAAAGTTGTCAATTCAGGGAAATTTTTCCACAAGAAAGTCTGCGTATCAATTGTGTGCTGCTATAACAAGGCCGATGTTCATCATTGTTTAACGACAATTGCTAAATATTGAACGCTGCTGGAACCTACAGAAAACATTTTGCAAATGAAGACAATGGTTAAGAGGTGGTTAAGAATGATCGCAAGAATGCAAGAGGAGTCACTACGGAGTTAATTAAAAAATTTCTCTACCAAGTTTGGAAGGTAAACAGAGAAAACAGAAGTATCGGTCAATGAAAATGAGTACTGGCGACGGTCTATAATAAAACCGTGTCCGGATTCACTAATGGCTGTTTTACAACTACGCTTTTCCCATGAAAATACTCCAGCTTTTTCGTTTTTTCTAGATTGCACCCATTGTATTCGATTAAAGCTCTACCCAGAAATGCAGCAGACTACGGTAAAGCGGTCGGCGGTTAACCGCTGTCAAAAATAAAACTCACAAAGGCATATGGAATTGCTCATAGTTGCGGCGGCAGCGTTTTCACCGCCGATGTTTTTCGGTTGATTTAAATTTATTTATATTTTTACCGCCAAGCGGGGACGGCACAGTGTTGATTGAGTCTTGATTGTAGTAATTTTTATTATTTTCACAAGTTTGCCAATGATTTCCAGAAAATCTATGTACATACACGCACGTACCAAAAAATATTTAATTTTAATGATTGATAATGATCAAAAAGACAACTAACGGAAGCCGTCGTGTGGCGCAATTGTGTTTACTCTGACGGATTTCACTGCGCAACTGTTCAGCTGTTCCCTTACCGCCGATCGCTTTACCGTCATCCGCTGTAATTCTGGGTAGAGCTTAAATGTTCCAGTGAAAAGGTACAAAGGACGCGAAGGACTTTCAACAGATCTTTGATCTAGATATGGGCAGTGAACTCATTCTTTGGTACAACTTATGGAAAAAATAGAAAAAGAACTTTTCCGAAAAAGATATGAAGGATGCTGAAGTTGTAGATCTATTTAAAGAAAAAAACGAATTTCTCCCCGCGATAAATAAGTGCATTTCCATTTTGAGCGCTTTTCCATGCACAACAACGACTGTGTGGCGATCGTTTAGTACACTTCGTAGAGTTAAAACCTGGCTCAGAAGAACAACAGGAGAAGAAAGGCTTTCTGGACTATGCATCATGAGCGTTGATAGAAAACTCGTTACGAAAACCGCGAGATGATTCAGGAGGAAATAATCGAAAAGTTTGCTGAAAATCGTTATTAGCGTAAAATTATTAAATAAAAAATATATTAAAAAATGAACAAATATATTTCGAATATCGCTGCCGTCTGTGTATGCTTTTACGTTGTTTGCAGCCAACGCACTTCGCGGAATATGCTCCCAGTGGGCAAATGTAATGTATGGTTATCGAATAAATAATAAGTAAAACAGCCTTTTACACATTCGAAAATGATTTTTTTTTTTCTAAGGCGATGTCCTAAGAAAAGCGGGGCATTCAATTTTGCATTACCAGTAATCAAGGAATATATGCGATTTAGTATGAATATTATGGGACTTTTTGGATACATTAGAATGCTGATTACATACAAACAGCAATATAATCTAGAAATCATAAGGAATACATTACATTATTTCTCACGCATGTAATGTATTAGAACTTTTCCCACTGGGATTGATATGTATATACACATGTATGGTGTGTAAATATGTAAGTTGTATATGAGTGGTATGAACATATCGCACACCGTCTTCAAAAGAGTCACAACTCAAAAGAATACCTTCGTCAGAAAATGCGAAAAACTATTTCGTAGCACATGCTAATCATATGGGCAAGGGCGACTTTACCTTAGGTTTTTTTAACAAATTATAACAAAAATTTGCTCCAGCTTTTGCTGAAAGGTAAATAAAAGCTCTGTGTACATTTTAGCGCATAGTCTCAAAAATGCCAAATTTTGAGTTGTGACTCTTTTGAAGACGGTGTGCGATATGATACCTGCTAAAAAAAGGATGATTCTGGAAATTAAAAAAAATGACGCGAACTACTGACACTATGTTTGTTAATAATAAAGTCCGATTGGGTGCAGTAGTCTCAAGTGATCATTGTTTCTTGTTCTATGAAGTATACCATGTATGTAGTATGTACTTATATTAAATATATGAAAGATATGTATGTATGTATGTATATAAATATATGCTTAAATATATAAATGTAAAAGATACATATGTATATGTGTGTCTAGATCACCATATATAGTATACATTACTTGTAATCTATTTGTTGCATTGTGTGTTGTGTGTATACATGTATTGTTTTCCAATAGTTATCAGTAGAAACAATAGTTAGTGAGGACGTGCATAGATGTTTGATGCTTACCCTATTATCCGCCACTTCACCGGGTCGCAACTTCTTCTGAGGAACCGATGAAGATTGTGGAACGAGTTTTCATATGCAAACATGCGGTGGAATTGGTGGTGGTAGGTTGAGGTAAAAATTTGTGTAATAAGTGTGACGATTGTGTGACAACGTGTTTTGGTAGTCGATGAATTTATTGGTTTGTAATTGTTTCATGATGTTGCAAATATTTGAGGAAGTAATGGTGATTTGTAGTGTTGTTGGATTCGAGTAAATAAATAAAAGCAAAACATGTGATTATATAGTTTCAAAACAAAAACATATGTAGGTACATACATATACCTAGCCAGATTCTTTAAATTATGTTATGCATATGTGTATGTGTACTAAACTACTGTGCCACGCAAGATTTTACAAGGGCAAAATTCAATACAAACAATACAAATATAAGTAAAAGGATATAGCAACTAAAAGCAACACAGTAAAATTAGAAAAAACATTTATGACAGCTATGATATATATCTATAGCGATTTACTAAAATTGTTGTATCTCTCATTGTACTATAAAATATCAGAACTGGTGTTATTGTGGTTTATACTTTGTTCAAATAGCCAACTAAATTTATTTATTTAATTTCACATATTTATTTGAATACATTTTATTGTTCATCACTGAACTTTGTTTGAGATATCAATTAAAATTTTTCATATTTTGATATCAGGCCCAAAAATGCTCACAGTTCATATACAAAAGTAAATTCCCCTTCACCATTTTCATTTCCCGGAAATAGTTTAGTATACTTTTAAGGAATATGTCTAACTTGTATCAACTGATTTTGAACTCCACTCCAACACATATATTAGACGTATGTTAGACTGCCTCACGAACCTTACAAAGAAAAAAACAGTCCCAAATAAATATGAAGCTTTTCAAGTTTATAACTCCCACGAAAAAATATTGGCCAAATTTAGTTTTATTCGGGAGCTAAGCCGCAACGAAAATTCCACTAAACCCGCATTGTTCGTGAATAGAAATCTATAACGAATCCGGCGGCATAATTCTAGCCGGTTTAAACTTAACCTAATCGACGTAAAGCAAGACGAAGACGACCGATAAACTAATAAAACTGCAATCAGAGATGATGTCGTCTGCAGACTAATCGTTTGTGCGGCCTATCGTTCGAGATACATAACAAGGCTGTTAGAAAAATGTAATGCAGATCCAGCAGTATCCACCTAACGAGTAACCATAATCTGAGCTAAAATGTCTTAAGGAAATCCAATTTGATGGTTTTATTATTACTAAATTATCAAATTTATAGAGAAAGGAAATATGAACCATTTCCATGGTACCTTGATTTCGAAAAGTTTTCATTATATGGCTGCGTTATTGCTGACAATCAGCGTTGCCGCCACTCAAAGAACTTTCTAACCAAGATTAGACGAAAAATTTACCAAATGTAAGGAAAAATAACCAATTTTTTTATTAGATTAACAATTCAGGTCATCACACATTCTTTTATATAGTACGTATAGAAAAAGTTTACAAACCAAAGAAAATCAATTTTTATTTGCATTTTTGAAAAGTAAATCCTTTTAGGGCTGTAATACGTAAATACATATTTTAGAAACTCATTCTTCCCGTATTAGATGCATATGTATGAATGTTTATATCTTCGTAAACAAAACTCTTTGTAAGAATCAATGAAATACCTAATCAGCGTGAGCATGTATATATTTTAAGATTAGGATTAAATAATTAAAAATTGGACTTATTAAGCTATATCGTTGCTCAGCGCGAAATACCTCGTATTCACCGAACGTAGTACCGCATATACGACGGTAAATAAATTTTACAAAAGCGTAAAAAACCGATTTTTTCAAAACTGTGGAATGGTATTTTCACTGAGCCCTCTTGCTATAAGATTATTATTATTAATCTTAACTTAAATTAATAAAGTAAGCAGTAATGGAAAAAGAATAACCAAATCCCTTCTTTATTGTACATATGTACATGACGTGGTATTGGATTCCCCACATACGAGGTATTTATATATGTACTATCTAAGTATGCATTCATTGAGGAAGTCTTTAGCCGAACATGTATATTATGTAGTATGTATATCATAAAAACAAATACATACATATGTCAGTAATATTAATGCATACATTCCAAATATTCTTATTTGGTTTCACTGCTGGGGCTGCCACTGCTGCTGCTACTCTCCTCAACCTCGAGAGGTGTAGCTAGCCTATGTCAATTAAAAACTACAGTAAATATTAAAATTCACCAAAACGGGAAAGATCTTAACAACTTCACAGGCAAGAAAAAAATAACCAAAATTGGTTAAAAGTAACCAAAACGGCAACACTGCTGACAATCCCATTAAAAATTTAATTTCTAATATGTTGACAATTTGCTTTTCACAGAATCTGTGGCATATCATTTATGTTTATATTTGTCTATAGGTATTTTCACGAATGACACCGCACTGAGGCAAATAATTTTGGTGGGGGCCATAAATAAAACAAAATTAGGTTAGGCACATTCGGCAGAAATGCTTTATACCTTTTTAAGTTTTATTATTTGATTTTAAATAGATCTCCGAAGGATAGAGTTTTGTAAAGTAATAACATGCCCAATTATTCTACTAAGCTGGCTAAATGAACAAAGTCGGCTTAAATAACATGACATTTATTTACACACACATATTTGCGTTTGTACAAATATTACACACTTTGTACACAATACAGATTTCTCCAACTCCTTCCGCTGCACTCGTAGTACTCAAAATATAGAAAAAGTGCAATAATTATTGTTGGCTGAACCCTCAAAAACAAACATAGAAACATTTAAAGCTAAGGTTTATGCTTCTAAACGCTCCTTAGTGGGTCCATTGAGCCTAGTAGGCGACCAAGAGATAAGCTTTTTTTAAATGGCAAATAATTTTATTCGAACTTTTTGGCTCATTAACCATGTGCTCGCGGAGTTTTTGGAGTCAAACCTATCGCAGCGATACATACCTCATCATTGATTATAAGTGACGGACGACGTCCCATCTCGGGCGGCACCAGTGATCCACGACGACTCGCAGGCTCAGGTGCAAGAGACGGGCGCTTTTCTCTAACCACTTCAATCTTAGGCGGCTCTCCTGGTGCCGGAGGCTGCTGTATTTTTGGCACCTTTGGTTTATCATCCTTTAAAAAGAAAATTTTAGTATTAATTGGAATATATTTATGCATATAACAAAATTATATGCTAGTAAATTGGTATTTACATCGTAAAATATCGACATATTAAATAATACAGTCAAACCTGCCAGACCCGAAATCTTAAAACCATCTTAAACAGCTCGTGTTGCTTAATTAAACTCGTAACTTATTGCCTGGGGTAAACGCAATCATACTCTCGCGGCAAATTGAAAGGCAATATGAAAGAAGACATATGCTGTCATTGACAGGTTGAACTTAAAAGGGGAAAACAAATTTGCTAGATTTTATGGATAGCTTTCGCATCTCAAAGGGTTTTCATCTCTCACTTATTGCAGTTCTGGCTGATTTCATTGTATTATCTTAATAGTACGTTCACGTTGACCTATAAACTCGAGTTTATGGGCCATTTTGGAGTTTAAGACTAAACTCTACACATAATCTCGGAGTTTGCCATATAAACAATTTTCGTCGAATTCGCCCTAATCACCACTTTTATTTGGTGTTTATGTGAATGCAACCCTTTTTTGAATAAATTTGGAAGCACGGTGCAAAAATTTGGCCGCACTAGTATAAATTTTAGCCGCACATCTTCCCGTACATATTTTAATATTTCAAAATTTAGTTATCTCAAAAGCCATTTCCCGTACATACGTCTAGAATACCAAACATTTAGCTATGCAAAACCCAAAAATGAGGCTCGATAGAACTTTTCACGCTGATTTTAACCATAAAGTAAAAATTAAGAAGGTATAAAATGTTAAAGCAAAAATTTGGGATTTTTTAAAATATCAATATTTTCTGAACTAAATAACTTATTAAAAACTAATAATGTCAAAATACAGATACTTTATTTGTCTTTGTTTTTGTTTATTATTAAGCCGGAAATACTGAAAAACAAAAATATATATTATTTTTCTATTACCTTTATTTAAAATTTGGTTTACAAATGGTTCTGGTATATACTTCGCATAAAATGTATTTAAATTATCTTGTTTATAAGCATCAATCCTTTTGTATTTAGTCAAGTAGTTTCCGAGATATTATACACATAAAAAATAGAAAAGTTAAACTTTAACCTCTTGTATTGACCAAAATAATTTTGGTATGGTTAAACTTAGTGAAAAAAGTTCTATCGATCCTCATTTTTTTCTTTATAGCTAAATGGTTGGTTCTTTTTACCCCGACTACATCGGACTATAGTAATAGCTATTACTGTCCAAATCCTTTATTACACACACTAAATGAGAATAAGAAAAAGTAAACAACCAAATGTCAGATTAAACTCTGAGTTTCTTAAACACCCCAATGAGAACACTTGACTGTTGTGCATAAACAAAAAACGTTAAACTCGAGTTTATGGGTCAAGGTTAACATACCATAACTCAGTGGTTCCCTTTTCCAGGTGGCGATCCACCTTTTCTTATCCTAATACCTCAAACAAACTTCTTCGTACATATATATAATTAGCCATCAAATATTGCCCAAATCAGAATGGTGTTGCTTGCAACTTATATTTATTTATTTATTTTTAATAATTTTTTAAAGTATAGTTCGTCCTAAAACAAAAACCACTTAAATAAAAATTTCAAAGATTGCACTAAGCTCACCCAAATTTCAAACTTTTTATCTAGAATTTCTAAATATTTTCGAGTATGCAGTTTTGTGGCTCATTTAATTTAAGCAAAATAAAGTGTACGATTCAAGTCGTTAAAGATTACCGTTGATATTTTAGATTGTTTTTGCTGGCGGTGTTGAGAATTTTTTCCCATATATAGAAATAAATTTAGTTGATACGTTATATGGAAGAAAATGCTCAACACGCTCGGCAAAAAGATTTGATTAATTTTTGTGAACTTTGAGTAAGCTTTGAAACTTTTACTTATTGGTTTCTGCATGATAAACAAATTACAAGGTAAAATCATTGATAGACAGTCTGATGTTTGCCAGCAATATAGTTTTAAAATTAGAGCTCAAGATCACATACACATTCTCATTTTTAATCTCAAACAACAACAATTGTGAACAATTTCATTTTTTTATTTTAATATTTATATGATTTTAAAATTCATGCAAGCGTCAGAAAAAATCATGGCCGACGAATTGAGAGAATGTTTTTACCATCGCATATACTTACAAGTATGGAATCCTATGCCCCTTTTTGTCTATTCTCTTTCTAACAGCGGATGTGCCTGCCAAACAGCGGACGTGCCTGCAAACTGAAAAGCATGATGGCGGCAGTGTTTCGACAGGCACGTTCGAGGATGCGAACGGCAATGGAAGGTAAGAAATGGAGGATGGATGACATGAGAATGAAAGAATTATGAAATAGCAGAATGTCGAACCGAAACGAATTTCAAAAATCTGACAATGCGAATGAAGTCAAAATAAAAGAAATGCGAAATAGCGAAATGTCGAAACAGAAGAAATAGATGACAGGCACGTGTTCAAGGGTTTGGTGCAACAAAAAGAATTGTTGTGTTGCGCCATTCAATATTAAAAAATTTCAATGTGGTTAAATACGCTTTTTTATTAAGTTGAAAAAACTTCATATTTCGCCAGCCAAAAAGTGTATAAATAAATATATAGCATCTTGCTATAAGATTTATTTATAAAAACGGTTTATGCTTATGGCCTTATTCATAAAAAAATAAAATAGATTTAAAGAGCTCTATACAGCAACATTAAAAAAAATAAATTTGTTTACTTTTTAATAATTTTGGTATAACATTTAACTTAACTTTTTGTGCACCCATCTCTTTATCTGTTTATTATTCTCAATATTTGCTTTCCTTAATACTCATTTGACTGAGTTTCAATTACACCCAGTAAAAATCATGATAAAAACGTTAGAAAGTAAAACCATTCTCTCAATTCGTCGGCCATGATGTTTTTCTGACTTTTGCAAACATTTTAAAATCATATAAAATTGAAAATAAAAACATGAAATTGTTCACAATTGTTGTTGTTTGAGATTAAAAATTAAAATGTGTGTGTGAGCTTGAGCTCGAATTTTAAAATTATATTGCTGGCAAACGTCAGACTGTCTCTCAATGATTTTACCTTGTAATGTTTTTATCATGGTAAAAATCAAAATATTTTATAAGAAAGAAAATGAAAGGTAATTTTGTTGACTTTACAATAAATGTAATATATAAAAATCTCGTGTCACGTTGTTTGTGTTCGAACCCCTTGTTATGTTTATTTTTTTTATATTATTATTTTTAGGTATTTTTAACTTTTGGCTTTTAAGCGAGCCACGCTAAAAGGATGATGGCCTCAAGGCCTATTTTTGTTGATGAGACAAGTTAGAAAAAACGAGGCAATGCTGCCGATTCTTGGTTCAAAACAAGTCTGTCTATTTCAGTGCACAAACACTGCTTTTATAATAAATTTTACATTTCTCCTTAAATCTAAGACACTCCCAATTTTAAGTTACTTTTCCTAAATTTTCATATTGTGACCAATCATAATTTATTATTTTGTAGTTTTGCATTTTCTAAATGTTCTTGTGGTAAAGTCTCATTGCTGTTCTTTTACTCTAATTAAATTTATATTGATTTCTCATATATTGAGAAATAATGGAATTTAAAAATAAATTAAAAATTATGGCAGTAACTAATATTGTTGAGTGCCACACTAGAACTAACATATTAAGTTAACATAAACTACTTACGCAAATTCATTAATAATAAAATCCCTATATTTAATGCTGTTTTGCAAATATTTGTACAACGCTACGTAATCACCGCCATTTCAAATGTTTATCACTCTTGCCAGGTCCAAAACTTTTTCACCGAAGCTATCCAAACGAGACGCGTTGTAGGCTGGGCAGACACCGATAAAGTGGTAAATACTTTCCGCATCGCCAAGGTGTATTCGAATTGTTAAAAAATAAATATACTACTACTACTATTGAGAAATATCAATTGTGAAACCAATTGTTTCACAGTTGCTCTACAAAGTTCATCGTCTTGAGAAAATACAACACTACAAATGTCTTCACAAAAGTGACCCACATGTGCAAGCTGCAATATGATCGTTTCTACAAAGCAAGTGGCCGCTAACGCTTTGCCCAATTTGTGACATATATATGAGTCATAACTCTTTTTGCTTGTATTCTTAACGTTGTTGTTAAGAACGTTATTATATAATATTGCAGTCACATGTGTGTTTACATTACTGACCTTACTTACTAATTATTTGTAGACACACAACACCCTCATAAACGGCTCGACCGATCTTCATGAAATTTTTTGTGTATATATGGTAGGTATGAGAATCGGATGTAAAGTATATTTCATACTGCTAGGTGCAGGGGGCGTGCCACCTCCCATACAAACCGAACTTTCATATTGCATATCTCTGGAAGTGTTCAGGGTAGAGTACTCGAACATGGTATGGAGATATATGAAAACAGTCGCATACTCATGGAGAAAAATTATGATTATTGGAAAAGGGGGCGTGGAACCTCCCATACAAACCGAATTTTTTATACTGTATATCTCTGGAAGTGTTCATGGTAGAGTACTCGAACATGGTATATAGATATATGAAATAAATTACATAGTCATTGTAGAAAAATTGGAACTATTGGAAAAAGTGGGGTGGCATCTCCCATAAAAACCGAATTTTTCATACTACATCTCTCCGGAAATGTTCATGGTAGAGTACTCGAATATGATATGGAGATATATGAAATCAATCCCATACTCTTAGAGAAAATTGGGGCTATGTGAAAACGGGGCGTAGCGCCTGAAACTATTACGTATCTTTGTATGTAAAAGTGTGTATGCTAGGTTATTTAAGACGGCAATGGAAATATGCCTTCTGACTAACTGCGTAACTGAAAATCATTAACGTGAAATGTTGGTGAAAATGTTGGACCCAAATATTTCCTTAAAAAAATTTATTTTGGGCGGGACAATGCATTTTCTAATAAAACTGAGATTTGTTTTGTTTTAGATTTTATAATTTATTTCAATACT